CAAGTGCACATGTTGACTACCCCTTACAAAGCAAGTGTGCATGTTGACTACCCCCTTATAAAACAAGTGCACATGTTGACTACCCCCTTACAAAGCAAGTGTGCATGTTGACTACCCCCTTACAAAACAAGTGTGCATGTTGACTAAAAAAGAAATAATCTCTTTTGCTTATCAGAAATGTCTACTTATTCTTTTTAATTATCAAAATGACCACAAGTTCTCCTTGCACAGCTTCACAAGGGTCTACTGCTATATCAAACTACCACTAAGCCCATAACCTAGGTCTCATCTGACTGGAGACATTTCTTTTGATTCAAATTACATAGTAAAGCTACCTTACCCATCCCCTCCCCCCCAAAAAATTAACACTTTCATGTCAGCAGAAGTTACAATGCAGGAAGAGTTTAAACATTTTAGAAAGACTAAATCCTTATATCATATGGGGGGCAGAGCACTTCAGTGAAGTCTGCTACTCTCCTTTCATGACACACAGGTGATCATGCTTTAGGTAATACTTGAGTAATGCAGTAAAAATCATAAGTTATTGAAAGCTACTTGATCATTTTATTAAGATTCTTTTTAAAACATTATATCTCTTTTAATATGTAACAAATTATTCTGCGGTTATATTAAACTACTGGTAAATTGTTTTTTCATGTTTAACAAATTATTTTCCAGTTACATTAAACTACAGGTAGAACACAATAAGTGGGGAAAAGCAATTAATCTGGGATGTACTTGAACTAGAGAAGTGAGAAATGCTTCTATTGTTGACAGAAAACTTCATTCATCAAATAAGTTGGTTCATTTTTCAAAACCAACTGTCGAGTAGATGTAACCAAGTTTCAAACATTCCATTTCTATAAACCACAACAACAACAACAACAATAAAATAATAATTTTAATTTCAGTGAGTAAGCAATATTCACTTGAATCTTATTGGCTCCCCACTTTTTAACCAACTGCTTTTTATATTTTTCACCAAAACTGCAACATCTTAATTTAAACTGTTTCTTTGCACATGGATTTAAAACATTTTCACAACTAACAGTTAATTACAAAATATAAATGTTGTTGTACAACCCACCTGTGTTAAAATATAGGCACGTTTAGCAGCAGGTACCTCCACGAGACTGGCATTGATATAGTCCTCACCTCCCTTAGTTAGCCTGACACGGCTGTGATCATCTAAAAACAAACTTTTGATTATTATTTTGGCTTCAAGCACCAAGTTAACTGTTCCCAGAAATTAACCTATTTACATACTGCACTGTAAAAAGTAACCCATTCTATTTTTATAAACTTACTAGTTGAGTATCTATTCTTATAGTTTTCCTTTACAAAATAACTAAAAGACAGAATCATAGGGTCATTTTATGTTTTATAATAGTTATATTCTATTCAAATATAAATAACTCAAGTCACAATTTACAAGCCACTCAATCAACATTATTCAATAATTAGAGAAAAATAAAATAATAGTCATTTACAATAATCTACACCTAATATAAACAGAATTTGAAATTGTTACTGTAGCAAAAAATTCCAAGCTGTCTGACAAGGTTGAAGCAACATTAAAATACCTGAACTATAGAGGGCAGCACTGAACAAGAATGGCTATTTATGTGAGCAGATGTAGTGTAGGTATTGGAACTAGCATTGTACCATACTACTAATACAGGTTGAACCTAATTTTATAACTGGTCTTACAATTACACCTAAAATTCTTACTACAATTTATGACTATATTCTAGTCTATATTTTTCAATCATAAAATGTATTTTTGTAATATTAAATATTGTGGTTGTTTTAGGACTTACTGATTTTCATAATTGGACAAAGTCTAGGAGCAGGAAGAAGAAGTACGAATGAAGAAAAAATTTAGTGTATTTTGTGTTATTACAGTTTTTAATTCTTTAATGTTAAGCATAATATTTGAACACATCTGTATGAGGTTATTTCCACCTGTTTTTCATTTTAATGTTTTACTAGTGAGCTTATTCAAAGCTACATGTTCTGATCTCACAACCAGCTTTGCATTAGAAGTAATTTATGATTATTTCCAAATTTAAATAAGTTGCAATCTGTAAAATTGAAACTTCAAAAAGATGTAAAATCATACTTCAAAAACTCAAAGCATTTTTTTCCTTTACGTATAATTATTAATTACCGATACATTTTAAAACCATATAAAATTATAATTCAAAAAACTTAATTTTTTTAGTCATCAATCAATGACAGTTATTAAAATACAAGAAGGAACAGTTTATCTAAAAGATAAAATTAGGTTCCTGAGAAATTGTTCCAATATTTTTACCTGAGTGTAGTGGAAAAGTTATAAAAGGTTTTACACTACCACATGCTATGTACCCTGTGGTTACCCATGGTTAACTTACTCACATGGACTCACATCTCTATAACGATTCAGGTTTTTATTTTCAGATTTTCTTGCATCTTTGTAGGTGAAGTTGTAACTCCCAGACTCACTTCTTATTTGCTGTTAAAAGAAAGTTTAAAATGTTAAAACAGAAAGATGCAACTCACCACAAAGTATCAGACATATATTGTGGATTTTGAATAGAGATTTTTGTCCATAATGCCAAAAAATTTACAAACTGTTGTTTCAATCAGCGACAAAAAAAAGTTTTCCTAGTGTCTAAACTCTTCATACCTCGAGTAGAAATGTAGTATTATTTTCATACACAACAATAAAACAACTTCAGTAATGTGATATCTTATACAATTATAAATGTTTGTGTATCTGTGTTTCTTCCGTACTGAAACACAACAGTCTGCAATTCATTAAAGTTTGATACTGTGGAGTAATTTTTTCAGTACTGGAAATTACTGTGAAATACTGAGTATAGCTCTGAAGTCATGTGTTATAGTATATTTCATCAATATATATAAAGACAAGTGATTGTACTAAGTTCAATGCTGTCACTCCCATTCTTTTGATTCACCGTAAAAAACAATAATATACAATCTATGATAGTTTTCAGTTTTTATAAAATAGGCCCATGAAATTTGAGTTACCCACAAAAAAAAAAAGACAAAAAAGCAAACCATTTTTAAAGATTATGAAGTTTTTCAAAGAATGTAAATTATTTAACTGATATAAATAAGCTATAATTATGATTTACTTCTTTTATGGCATTTAAGATAATGTTTCAATAAATCTGACTCAATGTATGTTAATTATTGTGTGTACTACCTACTTTATACCTATATAAGTCAAGTTCCTTTAAAAAAAAAAACAGTTTCACAAGTTGTTACTTCACATTCCACAAATGTGATGTTGTCATCCATCACTCACACTATACCACAATGTTAGGTTATATGAATATACCATGAGTTTCTGTCTTCTCCTAGTGTTATAATATTCATTCTGGATTTATTCTTTGTTCTGAATGTGCGCAGGTTTTACCTAACACATGACTGAGAAAACTGTTTAGCTGATCTGGTTTTGTGTTACCTTTGTTTCTTGTTCTTCTCAAAATTAGATGTATCCTGATACATCCTATAGAGAACATTGTTTAATGTGACCTTTTGTAAGTATTTTGATAAGAATGTCCTTCAGTAGTTGTTCAGCTGATACCCATATGTTACAGTTTCAAGTACGTGTAATGAGAATAACCTGTCACGTGGTAGTGACAGTCGAACTATACAGATACATAGTTTTTAAATCTAATAGTAGTAGAGTAGTAGAAAGGCAGAGTATAAGCCAAGCTTGGGTAAGCTTGCAAAGTTCGTGAAGAAAGCTCACATCTGACAGGCTAACCAAGTCTCTCATCTAAGTCCAGTGAGTTTCTGTGCAAGTAAAAACACACACACTGTTTTTATGTTAAGTGTCCTAATAAAGTGTCCTTTGAATTAGTTTTACTGGATAATTGAAAAGAACCCTGCCAACGGAATAATAACGTCACAACAATAATAACAGAGTAATATTAAAGTACCACACTCATACTATATTACTAGTCATAGTACGAAATTAACCTTCTTAGTAGTAGTACTGGCAGTGCAGTGGAAACCTAATACTAATACTAACGGTTACTAGTTCCCGCTCAGTGTATTACTAGCAATACTACCAATTAAAATTTAAAAATTAAAGTACTATTACTAATATTATTAGTAAGGTAATTAAGGTTATATACAAACCAAACATCGGGAAACATTGTCTTACCTGGAGAGTTTCTGCCCAAGCGTTCTTGCTATCAATTTCATAAAAATTCTGTTCCATTGTTATGTTTTATCAATATATAATACTTATCAGTTATCATATAGTGAGTTTTCGTCATGACAACGAAGGTGACATTGGTTCAACAACAGCATTCACTAAAACCCGGGTGTTTCAAGTTGACGTCAGTATTGGTATTCTCTACCACAGAAATATTGTCTTCACTAATGTATTAAAAAAAACTTACGAATCAAAAATCATGATGCAGAATTTGTGAAAACTTCTTTTTTGTAAGGTTTATTTTGTTTTAGTAAAATGCTATACAGTACTGGCAGTGCAGTGGAAACCTAATAGTAATACTAATGGTTACTAAGTCCCCGCTCAGTGTATCACTAGTAATATTACTA